AGATATACAAAGACTCAAAACAAGGGGATGGAAAAAAACTCACCAACCAAATGGAGAGCAAAAATAAATAAGTAAAAAGCAGGAGTTGCAATTCTCACACTTAATAAAATAGATTTCAAAGCTACAAGGACGCAAGGGTAAAAGGATTAATGCAACAATAAGAGCTCTTAACACCCAGATACATAAGACACATAATGAGATTTAGATTCAACGAGACAACAAATTGATAATGATATCCAGGACTTGAACTCAGAGCCAGAACAAATAAACACAATAGAGGTCTCCATTTTAAACACATAAAATATGCATTAACCACTTTAAACACTCAAAATATTGATCGGCCATTATTGAAACCCATTTTAGGAATGAAGTAATATTCCTTTTTCCCTCTTTTTCTTTTTTTTCCCCTTCTTTTTCTTTTTTTCTCAAAAAAAAAAAAAAAAAAGAAAAGAAACCAGTATATAAGTGACAGAAATGCCAGACTGAAAAAGGAATTAAACTTAAGGATGTTAAGAAAATTATGTGTATATATGAACTTTAATCTCAAAGTTTTCTGACCCCTCCACTCTATTCCATTTCATCTACTTGGTCATGAATCACTGTATCTTGGACCTAGACACCATTTCAAACTTTTCTTTTTCTTTTTTTTTTTTTTGAGATGGAGTTTCGCTCTTGTTACCCAGGCTAGAGTGCAATGGCGCAATCTCAGCTCACGGCAACCTCCGCCTCCTGGGTTCAGGCAATTCTCCTGCCTCAGCCTCCCGAGTAGCTGGGATTACAGGCCCACACCACCATGCCCAGCTAATCTTTTATGTATTTTTAGTAGAGACGGGGTTTCACCATGTTGACCAGGATGGTCTCGGCCTCCCAAAGTGCTGGGATTACAGGCATGAGCCACCGAGCCTGGCCCAAACTTTTCTATCTTTAAGTACTTTTCCCTTCTCTGAAGGTGTTCCTTTTGCCAAGGCTAATCCAACTACTTGGAATTACATGTATTTCCTCAGTATCCTTGATTCAGTAATAACTTTCCTTTCCTCTGTCACTCAACTTTTCACTGTACTCTATAACTACAATATAATATTTTAATAGCTACCTCCTTAAACAAATGAATTACTCATCATCAGACTTTATGTCCCCTTTTAACTATCAATTTTGTTTCCTGACCTTTTGTAGTCAAGTTTCTAGAAAGATAAGTGAATAGATTATGATTGTCACTTCCCATTTGTTCCTTGATTTTTTGAGAACTGATTTCTGCTTCTCACCACTGTAGTCAAACTGCCCATGCCAAGACAGTCATGACCGTCTAGCAGCCAAATATGATGATCAATGAGAATTTTTCAGTCTTTTAAATGGACTAGTCACTTTACTCCTCAAAATTCCACTCTCTCAGCGTGAGTCACATTCTTTTCTCCTGATCTATTCTAATTGTTCCTTCTTAGTCTGTCAAGCCAGAGCCTCTTTGTCTTCCTCAATGCAGGTTTTTCCCCCAAGATGTTTCTCTTCTTAGTCTCCATACTCTACCTGTGTTTGAGCTGTCAGATCTATGACCACAACTTCAGATGACACATGTATGTATGGCTGAAAGCTTAATCAGGCACTATCTATTGAAAATCTCTCCAAAGTCACTAGTAACTGCCTAGTCCACAAATCCAGGGATCTGTTCTCAGTCCTATTCACCTTAAACTTTACAGTACAGTAGCACACCCCTTATCCATGGTTTCCTTGCTCCATGGTTTCAGTTACTTTCAGTCAACAAAGGTACAAAAATATTAAATAGAAAATTTCCGGAAATAAACAATTCATGTTTTAAATTGTACACCATTCTGACTGTTTGCTTTAAGTGAAAAGGTAAAAGCTCTTAAGAAAAAAATCATACGCTGAAGTTGCTAAGATCTATGGTTAAAAAAAATCTATCCATCAAATTGTGAGGGCAAAAGAAATTCATGCTACTTTTGCTGTCACACCTTAAACTGCAAAAGTTATGGCCACAGTGCATGATTTAAGATGGAAAAGCCACTAAATTTGCAAATAATAGACATTAACAGAAACATATTCCAATCAACAGAATTTGGGTCTAGTAACATTTGCAGTTTCAGGCATCCACTAGGGTCTTGGAACATCTTCCAAACAGATAACAGGGGACCACGATATTTGATAGCTGACTAATCCGTACATCTCACAGTTTTTCTCTGTGAACTTAGCTGTCACTGTATTTCTCTTTCTTCAATTCTGAAACGCTTACTTAACTTACTCAATGACGACATTTTCCCTATGTCCATCCCAAAATAAACAGTAATCTTTAAAAGCATAATTTTTTACCTTCCTTTCTCACAATTTAAACTTCTTCAATTATCAGACAATAACTCAAATCTACATTTCTAGTGCTAATCTTTTCCCTGAGCTTCACGCTGATTATTTAACAATATAATAATCAAGTCTACCAAAAGTAAACTTTCTGTGTCTCATCCCCAGTTACATTCCTCCTACCTGTAGTCCCATTTCCTGTTATTTTAGTGAGAATAGCTCACAACTTTAAAAGATAAGGTCTTAATAAAGTAAAAAGTTATGCTCCCAAGTTAACACCTAGCTTTTTGCAATTTTAGATTTTGGCATGGTTTAAGTTGAAGTATGTGCAGTAATAGTTTTTTATAGGTTAACTCTTATAAAACCAAAGTGTCATGGTGCTGTGCATTTGTTTTATAATTGCAACCTATTTCTGGTTCTCTGCAGAAAATTCAGATTAACAGTAGTAGCTAATACTCAAGAACACTAACCATGTATTATATATACCCTTTCAAGATTCTCATATACATTAACTCACTGAGTCTTCACAACAATGTCATGAAACACTTTAGGAACACCCAAGTTTAGGTGAGTAATCCATTCTGGAGCTGTGCAACATGGCAGCTCTTAAATACATATTCATTACAGTATTATCTTTCCCAATTTAAGGAGGACATAGTATTATTTTTCTGAGTTTAGAGAAGAGGCCACTGGACCACTAACATGTTAAGTCTGGGGAACCCATACTGCTAATGACTAAACTTATCTCTCAGAAGTTATTTTTGAAAAATATATTCATAACATATGGCCCAATCAAGTTATCACCTATACTTGAAAGGAAGAAAATAAATCCCAGACCTCTTAATTCCCATTCCATTACTTTGTCAATTAAACTAAAAACAGCCTAATAATTTAGTTACTGAAGCTAAAAACTGAGCGTCCATGAAAATGTTTACCTAACTAGACTTCTAAAATGTGTTAAATAAGAAAAATTCCAATTCCTATATAAATTATCCTAAAATACTTTTAAATAAAACACCACTTGAAGGATTTCATATGAAGAAAATACTTACTTTACTGTTTTACTACATTGTTCTTCTGGCTGAGACTGGTCAAAGCTACGCTGATCTTCAAACGAAGCATGGTGAATGCTACACTGTTCTTCAAGCAAAGGCTGGTCAACTTGTTCTGACAAAGGATGGTCATCTTTTCTTGGTTGCTTCTTAAGTCTTTCCTCTTCAGCTAAATAGAGATGTTTCAGATTATCTGGGTATCGATCTGTGAATTGAGACTCCAGTGACGTTTGAGGCTTCTTTTCCTTCCGTAGCAATTTCTTATAACTTTTCTGAATTCTCAGTTTTCTTCGAAAGGCAAAGCCTTGTCCTACGTTGAGGAATATCATCCAAAATTACTTTCAGAGAAAAGAAGAGTTTAAGCAAACAATGAAGCTGTTAATTACAAATAAAAACCATTTTTTCAATATATCATTATATTTAGATGCTAGGATTGTTTTGCTTTAAAAGATTATTTCAAGAAACAAATTTAAGCTGATGGATTCCATAGCAAATTGGCCCTTTGCAAAAAGACCAGGCTAACAGTCGCGTAGCCATTGAAGTAAGAATCTCAAAGAAAAACTGGCCAGTTCAGACTGCTGCACAACTTGAGTGTATAGCTGTATTCACAAATTAAAACAACGTTCTTAGTTCGTTTAAAACATTTAATCTTGGCCTTCAATAAATACTTAAAATAGAAAAAAAAAAAGCCACATCTAGTATTTTATCTTGGACAAACTACTACGAATGTTTTCGAGAATATTTCAACGCTAAAGAAAAAGTGTATGGTTGTCTGAAAAGCTAGCAATTATCAGAAGACTAAATTTACTTAACATTTATATATTCTGAGTGGGATCTGAGGGACTTTACAGACGGCAAGACAAAAGGACAAACACCAAGTAAAGCAAAGGAGAGGAAGACAGGTAAGAGAAGATTTGAGGACCACTCGGGTATTTGTAATAGGGAAGGATTCGGAGCAATATGTTTGTAGCCCAGTCCTCTCTACCCAAAAGTATATACATAATACGTTCACAGGGGACACAAAGACGCTCTCTGCTCAGTTTCTCAAGAAAAATACAGAAAAAAAAGTTCTGATGAAACAGTTATGTCAGGGAAGGCGTTTAACTAATGAAGTTACCAACACTGCTCCGTTTTCCTATCTAGAGCTCTACGAAGCTCACAGCTTCAGCGGGCTAAGGAATGGCTTCCCCTGTCCTAAGTGGGACCGGATCTTGTTCCCATATCCTTCAAAGCTTCGGCGGGTCTGGTATCCTAAGACAGAGAAAGCCTGAGGACTTGCAAATAGTTGCCTTTTTACATACCCTCGCGAACACTCCCCACGAAGGTTTGCGGATGGTTAGGCCGCCATGTCTTCTGTTTCATATTCTTATTCCCGTATTCGACAGGTGAAAGCCCTTCACTACGCGCCTCAAAACGACCGAGCCGCCACTTCCCTGCCCGCCTCACCGGCGCCATTGCAGCCGACCAACTGCGTCTCCAGAAGACCACAATGGACGCCGACAAAACACGTCACCAAGTCGAAGCAATCAATTGCTCAGCAGGAATCCGGCTCGGAGCTCTACTGAGTCTGCCTGTACTAATATGGGCCGAGCTGGCGCCTCACGGCCATGTTTGCGCCACCTATAGCCTGGGAGGGTGAGCGTCATGGCAGCTTCTCGCCCTCTCCCGGTGACCCCGGACCTGCCCACGCTGCGTGCCAAGTTGCAGGGACTGCTGCGGTTTCTGAGGGACACCCTGTCTATTTCCAACGCACACACGGTGGATTTCTACACGGAATCCGTGTGGGAGGAGCTGGTCGACTTGCCCCCGGAGACAGTGCTGGCTGCACTGAGGAAGTCAGCTTCGGAGGCGGAGGTCCGGCCCTCAGAGGCGCGCCCCCTAATGGAAGCAGAGGGGGAAACAGGTGGGTGGTGGGGTAGGTGGGGCGGGAAGGGAGGCGGAGGAGAAGGTCCCAGCCGGCGAAGCGAGCCCCCTGGTGGAAACCTGCAGAACCCTGTGCGCGGCAGCGGAGGCGGGACGCTCTTCTGGGAAACGGAGGAGGGGTCGGAATTGTTGAGTGAGGCAGGGATGTCGTTTGGAATCAGGATCTCTCTTTCTTTGGGTGCATGTGTATTTCCACAATTTAAAGAAAGCAGGAAACAGGGCAGGGGAGTTCCTTAGTCTAGTAATACGATGATAGTTGACGCGAGGGAAACTAGGAGAGCAGTGCTCTCGCGGGGTTTATAAATTCTAGGTGGAATCCTCCACCAAGTGGTAGATTACTCAACAGTTAATGAAGTAAAGATAATTTTAGATGGTGGTAATGAAGTACAAAATAAAAACAGTGTAATGTGGTAGGGATTGTATAAGGAGGCTTCCTGAATTTAGGAGGTCAGGAACACGAGAAGGCACCAGCCTGGTGGCGGGAACAGTGGGCTACACTTGGCTCTAGCCAGGTGAGTGGCTGCAGGTGCAGGCCGGGAGGCAAGCAGAGGCCAGTGGCACAAGCCTTTCTAGGCCTTGGAAGGATTTTTTATTTCAAGTGTGATGGGAAACCTTTGGGGTTATTTAGACAACATAGTGATCTAATTGACATTTGAAAAGATAACTGAATTATTTGAGGAATAGACTAGTGGGGCAAAAGCTTAAGCTAAGAGGCCAGTTAGGAGACTATTTCAGTAGTTAGGAGACTGTTTCAGTTGATTGTTATCTTGGACGAGGACGGTATTCAAATATTCACTACTTCATTTTAAAACTATTTTAAAGTACCTAACGTGTATCATGAATTTTTGTAGGTTCTAGGTTTTCCTGCCCTGAAGAAATGTAGATTCTTCTAAGGCAGGTATATTTTGGAAGTAGAATGATGGACACCAACAGGCTCCTGGGATTTTTACTTTCCTTCTAACCAAACTTACCCTTTCTAGTGAACTTCATCCATTGAGCATTCTCTGAATGCAAAGCAGCGCTAGAGGGACCTCTTATAATAGCACTTGGTAAATACTGGTTTCTTTAAAGTCATAGTTATTGAAAAGTTAGGCACTTCTTCAGTTTGCTTTCATAATAAATATATGGCACTTAAGATAACATGACAATTTTACTTAAACTCCAATAGAGCAGCGTTTGTGTCTGACTTGTCAACTGATGTATTCCCAGCACTTGGTAAAATATTTGGCACACATTCAATACTGGATGAATATTTGTTGAATGAAGGAATTTATGAATTACTCATGTTAGTTTTAAATAAATAAATAAATGAAACTACTCTCAAGGTTAGAGGCTAAGACTTTCATACGTGTTTATAAGCTTGGTCTCCATACAATGGTAGAGTTAGATTGTCTTGTATATCCTAATGATAACGGTTGGATTAATTGATATTTAGTATATACCCTGTAGTGTGCTAAGTGTCTTCATGTATATCTTCTCTTTTAATCTTTACATCAGCCTTCCACGATAGGTTTTGTTATTTTCTATTTGTGAAATTATAACTTAAGGAGTTAATTTATAAGGGACACAGCCTTCTAATGGAAGATTCAAACCTCATCATTTGACTTGAATCTGAGCTCATCATCACCATCATAAAAATCTACTCTGAATTATTTAGCAATTAATTACCAAGTCCATTTATTATCATAATCAGTATTAATGACAGTGACACATTCCATGTTTATTTTTTTACTGTCTGTTTCTTCCTTTAAGAATGTAGGAATTGTTTTGTTCATTGCTGTATCCTTAGTGCCTAGAACAATTAGATCAATGCATCATTAGATTAGGTGGTTAATAAATACTTAGAAACAAGTAATTGAATAATATCACTTATTTGTTCTCTTAAGCTAGGAATAAAGTGCTAACATCTTTTGGTAAAACCTTACAGCCAATTTCATATCTATCCAACAGCAATGGAATTTAGGTTAGTTTGTGCACCTGTGGAATGTCTGTGGTCCTGCACACATTTTTGTACAAAAATTACATTGTATAAGTGGTCAGCTGCTTGTAATATTAAAAAGAGTGAGTTTTTATCATTTGTGCTTGTCAGAAATCTTCATTTTTGTTTATGTGAAGATGGACATTTTTCTCTATTACTATATGAGATCGATTGTTCCTATCAGAAGAGATATTAGAATCCTATGAGCAGATTTGTATCCTATTGAATAATTATTAGCTATTATGGACAGGATATCTAGCAGTTAAATAGGGAGTCAAATAGGGTTCCAATTCCAGTTCTGCCTCTGCCAGTTCTGTGATCATGGGGAATTTCATTTATTCATTCAGTCAGCAAACATTTACCAAGTATCAACTATGTGCCAGGCACTTTTCAAGGAGTTAGGAAAACAGCAGTGCATGAAACAAAAACCACTACCTTCATCTTGCTTGCAATTCTAGAGGGAGAAGATAGTCAAAATTATTTTAGTGCTATAGAGAAAAAAAGTATAATAGGTAAGGGCGGGGTAAATAAGGGGAAGAAGAGGAAAATACGTTTGCAATTTTAAATAAGTTGTCCTGGCAAGACCTCATTGAGGTAACTTTAACTCTGTAAAGATAAGAAGAAAAGTGAGCTATGAAGATATCTGGAGGGAAAGCATTCCATAGAGTGAGAACAGGGAACAGAAATGCACTGAGGAGGGCGCCTGCATGGTGTGTGTTAGGAGCTGCCTGGAGACTGAAACAGATTTCCACTAGGGACTCACAAGGAGTATGGTCTTCTGCTGATATTGTATGAGGAGTTACAAGTAAAGGTTCCCAGAGCTGCATGCATGGTTTGAAAAAGTACACTAACAGATGTTCAGCACAGTCATTTGGTATTTTATGGAACAAAGTTGTTTCTAAAAGTCCTCAGTGTATCCATTTCAGTAGGTTTCTTGTGCCAGGTGATCTTCTTGTCTGGTTAGAGTCCTAAATGTTTCTTCTTCATTGTTCATCTAAAAAGAATTGGAAGAATAAAATTTAATTCTCCAAAATAAAAAAGAAATATGTTGGAAATGATCTTTTCACAGCATAAATTATGGCTTTCCAGACAGACCGCCTGGGTTCAGATCTTGACTCCAGCACTTACTAGTTGTGCTAACTTGGACGGTTTGCTTCAACCCCTTGTGCATTAGCTCCTCCTCTGTAAAATGGGGTGACTTCAGTACCTATCTGATGGTATACCAGGAAAGGTAATTTAGCTAATAGATAGAAAGGGATATCCTTAAGGTGTTATGAACAGCAGATGCCCAAGCTGGAGCACGCTTGGTGCATTGTAAACACAGCAGAGCAGTCCTGGTGAGACTGGAAAGAGATGGGGTTTGGAGGTGGTCTAAGACAACTTCACATGAAGCTTGTAGGCCGTATTCAGTACTTGGCTTTTATTCTGGGTGAAATGCAAAGCTCTCTGAGGACTTTGTGTGGTGATGTGATTCAGTGTGATTTATGTTTCAAAGTCTGGTTTCTGTGTGGAGAAGAGAGGTTAAGAGGTGAAGGAAGGTAAGGGAAGAAACAGGATTACAATTTAAGAGGCTATTAAAATAGTCCAGGGACATTTCAAGGAATGGCAGCTTGAAGAGGTCAGATTCTCCAGCAGATAACAATGATGAAAACTAGCCAGATTATTAAAAACAACTATAAGATTCTGGAAAATGACCAAAGGCAGAAATATAAGAAAAGATTGCTATTGAAAGACTGTTACTGATTGTGTAGGAAGTGAGAGTTTATGGCTTTCTCATTGGGATGCTCCCTGCCCCTATAGATCTAGCAGTGGAATACCACATCCTTACTAACTTAAGGTGGTGATGGCTGAATTTGGAGATCAGAGCAGGTGGAAATTTAATAGGTACATTCTGGAAACAGGAGAGATACAAAATGTCTGAGATCTAAGATCTGAGTATAAACTCTGCCTGAATCCCTGAATGATCTCCTATCTACACATGCCCGGAGATCCTAGCAAAAACACTGGCACAAGGGGGTTGTTGAACTTTTGAGAGGCAGAGCTCTCCCCTAGCTAGAGATTTGCCAGTTTGCTGCACCTTCAACAGAGTGTACTCCCTAAAGTACCCACAACTTGGATGGTAAATATCAGAAGCCTTATTGAATTATTGGATGAAAGGGCAAAATTCAAGTTTGTCAGAACAACTGGAAATTTAGACTAGGGAGTCTTTGAATTGGAAACAAAGGAACCACAGAAAGAGTGAGCCTCAAAATCTGACTAGAAAATCTACCCAAATCTTTATCTGACTGCTAAACTCTGTAGGTTCAGGTATACTGCCAGGCAGTGGGCAGATAAAGCAGCAACCAAGCAGAGACATCAGCTGCTGCACTCTGAAGGGGGGATAGTTTTCACAGTTTGAGTCAAAGCAAGTTGAAATAGAACAACCACCACAAATCCTTAGGAAAACAAAATAGACTCACTACAATGAATTATCTGCCATTCCACTTTGCAACTAGAAAAAACTACTAGATGTGAAAAAAGAAGGAGTGACTCTAACTTAAGAAACTGCTTCCCAGTAAGTTCTAATGCTGGATTTTAGTACCTGTGATGGAAGAATTAAAGGATGGTGTGACCCATATTTAGGAAGAAAGGAAAAAGTCAATAAATGCTGATCCTAATTGGGCTAAGATGTTGGATTTAAGTGGCTGTTATAAATATGTTCAAAGAACTCGAAGAAAATGCACTGGAAGAATTAAAGGAAACTACGGTATTAAGGAATATTTAATTATAGTACCTACTTTATGCCCCTTTTAAATGGAAAAGTACACATGCACTGACACACAGTTGTATTAATGTTAATTATTATCTATTGCTGCATAACGAGTGGGCTTAAACCTATACCATCTCTTCAGTTTCTCTGGGTCAGGAATTCAGGAGCAGATTAACTGGGTGGATCTGGTTTTGGATCTTATGAAGTCACAGTCAAGATGTTGGCTGGGGCTGTAGTTGCTGAAGGCATGATC